TTCTCGACCGGCTCACCAAATCGGCTCGTCTTTGTACAGATAATATCCTATATCAGACTCGGAGAACTAAAATTGGAGCCTCGGGACTTAATATAATTTTTTTAAAAATTTATTATTTTAAAGATATTTTTAAAATTGAAATCGGTATGAAAAACGGACTACGGAACAGAAAAATTGGCTAAAAAGCTATTTGGGCTGCGCTGGTAGAATCTGGCCCAGTTCTGCCCCACATTGGGCCTTGCACTAGGATATTGGGCCGGAAATATAAGCCTGCCAAAACTGGGATGACACGGGCCTCGCTGGGCCTGGCTGCAGCGGGAGAAATCGGGCTTTGCGCGGGCTGAGTTCGGGCCCAAAGCGGCCCGCGCTTTTCAGGAGTACTTCACTAAAAAAAAGACATACTACATTCAAGGCTGGGGTTCGAACCCCGTACCTCTCGCACAGAAGAGCACAAACAAGACCACTGCGCCACACGCCAATTTGCAATATTTAAGGAATACTTTTGAAGTAAATTGTTTGTAAACAAGGCCTGCAAATGATATAGAATAACAGAGCCTGGGAACAGTTACAGAAGCTGCAAATGATTTACGACCAACTCACAAAATCCCACGGCAACTCAGGCTCGGAAAATATCATATATATTCGAAAGATTTATCAGAGTTCGGAATATTTTAAGAATCGGTTTGTGAATCGAAAATCAAACCGACAATAATATGGCATGAAAAACAATAAACGACACAACCACGTCGGCTCGAAACAATAGAACAAGACTCCGAACTTAAACGAGTTTGTCACAGCAATAAAACGATATTCACTTTTTACGTAATCGAGAGTTCCAATAACCCCTGAATAATCCTCGAACATACGAAATACATAACGAACATTCGAATAACCAATTAAACCGATTTCAAGTAAGGATTCCATCGACGAGCACGATATATGAATAAACGTACAACATCAAACCGAACTGCAATTTACGAGAAAGTTTCGAAATATTTTTACCGACTTCGAGAAATAGATGAGCTTGGGGGGTTAAGGGACCAAACGAACAGAACTCGAACGAGCGGGTCCAAAACTTCGAAATTCCTCGAAAACTCGTACTGAAATTCGAAGAATAGCTCGCGAATTGGACTGCTGAGGGTCGGCGACGGTGGAGCTGCTAGAAGGAGGCTTGCCGGAATGGAAAAGGGTCGGGTTTGCTGGCGTCTCGCGAAGGAATTGTTAGATCTGACGGACTGAAAGCTCGAGGTCGGCAACGTGCTGCGACGTAAGGACGCCGGTTATTGAGCTTCGCTCGCCGGGAACAATGGCGGAGGTCACAGGCGGCGATAATCAAAGTTTTTTTTTTTTAACAGAAATTGAGCGAGGGAGATAGAGTTTGGGTTAACTCTTCCCGGTTCTTAAGTAGACGAGAGAGATGAGGAGAGATCGGAGGAGAACGTGCGGGCGTTGGAGGAAAAATCTCCCGAGGGGATCGCAACCAAATTTTGAGCGTGAAGATAAGCTGGGGACTCGGTCGTGCGGTGGGAGAAGAAGAAAAAGAAAAATCTGCGGGCTCTACATTAATTTGGGCCATATTTTACTCTTATCTTATTAGGCCAAAGAAATAAAAGAATTGGGCCAAGGGATAAAAGAATTTTGGGCCAAGGAATAAACATAAAAGGTCCAACAATTTGCTAAACCACAAATGGGGCTAGACTTAATCTCAATTGGGCCGAAAATAAACGCAATAATAAGAACTCCCGATCAATATAAATGACGACAAATAATAACTTAATCCGGATTATCTATATTTATAATACACGCAATATATAATTATATAATAATAATAAATATTTAAAACCATTAGACATTTAATCACAATTAAATATTTACTAATAATAATAATAATAATTATAATAATAATAATAATAATAAAAACAATTATGCAAAATAAATAATCTCAATTATTCATAAACAAATGGGGCGTCACAGTCGCGCACTTGGGGGTGTCACGCACTTGAGGGTGCCGCGCACTTGAGAGTGCCGCGCACTTGAGGGTGTCGCGCACTTGTGAGTGTCGTGCTCTTGGGAGTGCCACGCACTTGGGCGTGAAGTGCTCTCCATACAAATGCGACGGCCGAACCGTGATCGGACCTTAATGAACCACTACTAACGACCACATCAAGGTAATGAATGATAAACAGTAATTGCAGTATGGAGGATGTAAGTTGAGGATTTTCGAAATTTGCCAGGAAACGTAATGAACAATTAGAATATGTTTTCGATTATGAAGAACGTAGCAATATCGAATTGTACTAGAATTTATACTAGCAATTTCCTAAATTTTTTTGTCTTCTTTTTTTTTAGCATATCTGATCTCTGATTTACGTCATTTCTTATTTACTGTATCAAATCTTAATATTTTGTGCATTGTCTGTAGATGCAGGATAAGTATTCGAACCAATTGTTTCTTCATTTGTTCCCGGATTGAACTATTATTAGATCAGGCTTGTCCGCACCCGGCGCCTTGGTTGTCTTGGGTTTTAGTCTATCCCGGTTCGCACGAGAATTTTGCAGCGCCTCAGAAGGTAGCGACACATCTCTTTCCTTTTTATTTATTTCTCAAGTAAAAAAATGGCAAAGATATAGAGAGACTAGTAGATGCCTGGCTACTAGAATGTGATGTGATATTCATGATCAACACATTTTTGAATATTTGTTAGAGGCAAACACAAACATCTCAATGAGACCATCTCTGTAGCCTATAAACGTGAAGTAGCTTGATTTCCATCTTATCATGCATCAAAGTTGTTACAAACTCAGAATTCATACATCATTAAGACAATGTATAACTCCACGAGGAAGGCCTATAATAACCTCCTCATCACAAACTTGAGAAAGCGAAAAATTCCAGAAACAAATGCTTAACAAGAAATGAAAAAGAAAAAGAAAATTGCGCTCCAATCTTGGGAGCGTACACAACACAATCAATCGTAGTAACTTAAATAAGGTTCCTCAAGACCTCATATTAATTCTTCTCATTTTTCCTGCCAACAAACAGCACAACATCTTATATATTATTTTTGAAACCTTTTTTTTTTGTTCTTTTTATTTGGTAAACCACAGGGGACCCACATCGCACCACGAAAAAAAAAAAAACAAAGAACCACGACAATCCCTTTCTTAGTTCATCATCTGTGAAACAATGGCGAGGCAGTTGCTAGTCATGTCTGTGAGCTTCTCCGCATACCCTGACAGGGGAGACGGCGCCTGCATCTCGGCAAACTCGTCCTCGCAGTCCCCGACAAAGGTGATGACGGCGCTGAGCACGCTCCTCATTGTCCCGACATCCTTTGTGGTGAATGCATCGAGCGTCTTCTGGAAGTTCTCGACTGCCACGTCGTAGCTTTCCTTGCAATCCTTGAGCGTGGAGCGGAGCTCGGGCGTGATGTCGTCGGATTTAGAGACGAGGTTAGTGGCGACGGAGAGCGCCTCCTTGGCGTAGTCGCCACCGGCCTCGACGGCGAAGCGGAGGACGGACTCGACGTCG